TGTATTAAAGGGGTAATTTAGAGCGTAAAAAAAATGTGGCTTATTTTGAGGAATTTTTTAAAAGAAAGCTACATATTTTCTTCTATATGCGCTTGTATACATCTACTTGTACATATTTAGTAAATATCTACAAATTTTTATATGACTAAATACTTATTAATTTTTATGTTACATACATTTAAAAATGAAATGTAAAAAAAAGTGTTAATGGTTGATTGTGGCCTTCAAACTCAACCGAAAAAATTCAAAAATACTTTTTCTTATGAATGTGACTATAGTCTAAATGGAAAATATTGCAAATTGTTAAAATAGCACGATTTTAAAAGGCTATCAATTTTTTAATAAAATTTTTTAATTTATAAAAAAAAAGTTAATTTATGGACATGCAATAATCTTATAATTTATGCAATAAGCAGACACGTATTGTATGTACATTAATACATGCAAAACTGATTTAATATCTTTAGTAGTTTCTGAAAAATCGATTTGAAAAATATAGTTTAAAAAAACACGTTTGTATATATACATAACGTTTTGTATATATACATTAGAGTTATAATATAAAGAATTAAAGTTTACATCTACTCGGCGATACCGGAGCCATACAACAAATTTTCCTAATTAAAAATACTCATGTTTTTTACTTTTATCTACGCTTAATAATAGTGGCCTTTGAGCGCGTTGAGATAAAGCGTTAAACACAAAAGTTCGTTACAAAAATATGTTAAAAATATTTATATAATATATTTAATACATTTTTGTTTTGACAAATATATAAGTAGTATAAATAAAATCTTTTTTTTTAGGAACTTATTTTTGAGATTCTAAATATTTAAAAAAGATAAAAAAATTCATTTTTTAATTATCTCCTTAAGAGAAAAATAACACACTCTACAAAGTTTTATTATCAATTGAATTGGAATCGAACAAAATTCATATAAAGCTAACCAGATCGGCATTTGAAGCGCAAAGAGTTAAGAATCTTTTAATGACAGTACCTACATGAAAATTAATACAATATTATTTCTTCAAAAGATCATACGCATACTGTGAGATTTTGTAATATATCTATTTTGAGGATCTCGAGGATTTTAGTTTAAATTATATTCTGACGTTGTGCCCCTGATTGGTTGAGGGATATGTTACAATAGTACAATTGTGTAATCACTTCTCGCGAGTGCTCTAGGCTTTAATGAGTCCAGACTATCATGTTCTGCATCGTCAAACTGTAATTTGTTCAATAAACGTGGGCGATACTTAGCCTTACTATGTCAAGCTCGAGTTGTTGGGCAGAGGTGTCCGGCACAGCCGTTACCTTTCCCATGAAATCACATATCATGTTAAGCACGGTCCTTGATGTTAAACATTTATGTCACGGGTGGATATCATCCTAACGCCGCGTGGTATAGCCTGTTCGCCAATCGAAAGCAATACGTTATATCTCACCGATGCACGGTGCAGCGTAGCGCGATTCTATTAGAATGCATCTGGTTGTGTTTGACGAGAGTTCGCGCCTGAACGAAACGCTGCGCCGCAGTGATGTTTTCGGAAATGCCGAGCGACGTGCACGAGGCGCAGGTAAAAGAAGAGACTCGTCATAATGATGCTAAGTAAGAAAATTGAAATATTTTTTTTCACTCGAGGATTACCTACTTGTTGCTACGCAAGTTGTTCTAATCGTTACCTCTTTGCGGCGTAGGCAAAAGGACAAGTGGGTCATAAAAAATTAGAGGAATACAAATTTTTTATCTCAGCGTGACCGATATGTATATTGAATCTTATTTGGCTGATCGTTATCATGGTTGCACAAAACATAAATCCTTACATAGAGAAAAAGTTTCTTTAAATTAAACAAATTTATGCATTAGAATAGTTCAACCAAATAGATGTTTAAAAATGTGATTGCATTAAAACTGAAGTATTTTTGATTAGACAAAATATGTTTCATTAAAATTGTTTCAGTGAAACAAATATAAATAGAACTCTTGAGTCCGAACAAATCTTTTTCTCTGTGTACAATACATAAAAAGGATGGTTTTACTGAAATATCTACAAATTTAGCTAAAAATAATTTTGTTAAACCATCAAAATAATTATGTAGGATGCTCAAACTGATAACTACAATGTCAAAACTTTTGCAGCATTGGCTCATCTTGCTTGAGATTCTACGTATTTATTTTGAGAGTTCAACAAAATTATTTTCAAATCTGTATCTAGTTAAATTTTTTAATAATTCTGCATAGTCGTTCTTTCCGTGTACCAGTTCAATATATAACTTTGTAATTTATAAGGTCACAATACAGACTTTTGCATAACGCATAAGGCATTAGAAAATCAATTAATGAGAATACAAAATGGAAGACCCTGATTGATTTTCTTATGCCTTATGCATAATGCAGTACTATTAGATTGTCAAAGGAACAATGGCAACTCAATCTCTTGACATTTTGTTATTTTTAACTTTCATATGTGTCAAAATGTAAATCATTTAATTTCTGTGGTTATTTTCAAAATTAGCAACATCCATATTATTGTATGCACTTAGTAAGTAATGAATTAAATTTGAGTCAAATTTAATACGTTTTCTTGACTTAAATTATTTAATTTTTGCTTTATTGCTTTAGTGGCGACCTATAGAAATAATAAAAAATAACTCGAATTATAATTTGATGTTATGAATTTAATAATGAGTGTTACAAAAATGTTTGGGCTTTTAAACAACAGTATTGGTATCGTTATATTGTCATTGCGCAGATGTTATATATAGTGAATTGTTGCGCAACGACATAACAATACTGAACTTTAAGAGGATGCTGGAGCGACGCGCGGCTGAACTTGATCGATGTCGATCTAATTAGATCTAAAAGTCTGATTGGATGATTTAGAAGAATACACCAATAACAGCGAGCATTCATTCAATGCTGAACACGCCCATTCTTAATTCCAAATAAAACATTACGTACATTAAATAAAGCATTAAGTAAAACATTGCATTTTTTGTTGTGTTATATCCTATATCACATAAATGTTAAGTTATTATGTACATTCAGATCATATATTTCCATTCACTTATCTTGTAAGCTTCCAAATCATAATTTGAAGGTTTCATTATATTCTTATAAATTATTCATATATGGGAAAACTATTTTTTGTTTGAATATATGTATATTTGGAATCATTTATATAATATGTAAAGAGATATGTAAAGAGAACAAGCATGGTAACAGGAAACTATTATATGCAATTTTTTTTTGTTTTTCATACTGATTTGTGTTTTCTTACAACTATTTGTGTTTTTTTTTTTATTATTCTGGAAAAGGATTTTTTTAATTTCTGTATAAAGATGCCTCCAGATGATATGGTCAATATATACTAGTGTTCCTAACATCATGTATATGCTAATTTTGCATAGATTCGCTAAATATTGACTACATTCAATATGGATAATTATATATGTCATGTATGTATACGCTGATATTTGCTGATGTTGGCATACGTTAGCCATATCGTTTGAAGACGCCTTTAGGAAAACGAAGAAAATGAAAAAGTACGAAATGTGTGTTTTATCAATACAGATGACTCCAGCATTCCCTTAAAAGTTAGAGGCAGTGCACAATAAAAGGAATAGGGAACAGAAGAATAAGAATTTTAATTTCTGTAATACACAGTTTCTGATAGGCTGTTCTTATTCTCGAAGAATTCTTATTCTCTGTTCTCTGTTCCCTATTCTTTTAATTATGCCCCTTATAAAAAAAATAGGGGGACTGACTACTACTGGCGGGGCCGCATCCTACCAACGTTTCTGATTATGAATGTGTTCCAAATTAGTATCATTTTATTCTTCTTTATTATTTGGTGAACAACAAGGACAAATGATGCATCATGTACTTCATGCGTAATTCGGAACGTATCTCAGGATTCTCATATCGCAGAGTAAACTCTAGCCACAAATAGACAGTCATCTCGTTCGATTGCGATGAGCAGCTTTTGTCAGTTCGGATCCACACTTTCTTTCTAGTCACGATAATCTTTCCTTTATATGGCAGTAAATGTCTAAAAATATCACACTTTACGGTACGTGACACTCCGGGTAAATATGCACCGTTCGCAAATGTATGTCACGTACAATGTCAATTTTATCGGTACGTCGATTGTTAAGCAAGTAACCAACATTATGCCTGTTTCTATCAATTAACTTCAATCTCGGTTCCACTTACCCTTTATCTTCTTCTAATTTTTAGAACTAGGAAAAGATAAAAAGTAAGTTAAACTGAGACTAAAGACTCTATATTAGTTATTAATGACAGAAATAAACATTAGTCGAATAAACTTTGATCTTCAGATAATAAGAAAAGAGTCAAAGCACTTTATAGATAAAAATACTAAAAAGAAGGGAAAAATATGTGAAAACATCTTCGAATCATCAAATAATCATTGGGAAGACCACATCGTGGTGATGTTATAAGATAAGGATGATTGGAGATCCTCAAGAGATTCGACACTATACGTTTGATCCGCCATATTTTTCAGGACTTGTTTAGGATAGATTAAGATAGATTATACATAAGATAAAGATGTCCACGTATATCATTCTATCTTATGCACCTACTTCGTCCTATTTTAAACAGATCCTGAAAAATATCCTGAAAAATCAAAGTTGTTTAAACGGTCCAATTTCTTACTTGAGGATCTCTAGAGGTGATTCAATAAGATAGATAGTGTCACTTTTAGGTATTTTACATACGAACATGCAAAACAATGTTTTATTTCGCGAATCTAGATTTAACAATGGCTCAGTTATTCTTCTTCGCGATCAAGTAGCGCGTAAGTCAAGGTCAGTTTTATTTCCGCAAGTCCATGCGTTTTCCTCGTCTACATCATCTTGTCACCGATGAAGATACTAGCCAAACGATTTCAAGATTACAATGATTAGGTTTCCTAGTATGTAATGTGCATCTCGAGAGTCAGATTCAGGACAAGTCGACTTCTGTTCTGTGCAGGATGGTATTAGATCCCAAGGCCACTAGTTTGCACAACGATTACGGAAGTTTCGATCGACCGTTGGGCGCCGGGGAGGGCCACGAGAGGGACGTTGAAGCGGCGGTTGATGGAAGCAGCAGCGGGGCTCTTGCCCGGCGCGCCGTTATCCAAGAGTAAGGACAAGTGGTCCGGAGTGGCCTCGGGTTCAGACTACTACGAGGATGATGAGGACGAGAAGGATATCGAAGGTTTGGGCAGACATCCTGGAATACCGAATGGTTCCAGCAGTGGCATCGTTAAGATCGACATGCCGGCGCCGCTACGCGAAGAGCCACGTTTCCCCAAGGAAAAATGGAAAACGTTTCTCGGTAAGAGAACGTGCGAATGCCATTATTTAAGAAAAAAAAAGATTCTTTTCTTGAGGAATGCACAAACACGTAGTGAGTTATATCTTGGAAAAAAATGTGTTTACTACATAAATAAACTTGGAATTCCTCTTTTATCTTTGAAAATTAAAAATTTTCATATAATTTTTATCATTTCACTTAGGAAAATTTTTGAAATTTTACTTTTAAAATTAGATTCTATTTCTTTCTTAGAAAACATTGTTTCTTTCATTATTTTTTCTTGATAATACAAGTGTCGACAGTCAGTTGGACAACATGTATGGCATACACAAGTGTATACAGTTATATATTGGCCAAAAATATATTTAGGTTTTCATAGATACGATCTTCATTAAAGTGAATCTCGAATACGCTTAAAATTTTATAGTGAACGCCTAGTGGCAGGTGCACTTTGTATGATAAAATTTGACAGAATACATCATGGAATATACACATTTTTGAAACTTCTTGATTTTAATAAAATCGTGTTTTCGTGTTTTCTTTGTGTTTTGTATATTCCGTCGCTGTTTTCAAAATAATAAATTGATTTTAATGATTAATGTAGTGTTTCACAATTTTATTAGCATTTAAACTTATTATGGCGATTCAAAGTTTATTATTCAATTTAACTTATTTTTTTCAAATGAAATTAATTTTTCACAAATTATTGTTTTCATTATTTGATAAAAAGTCACATTATCAAAATATGTTATAATAATTTAATAGAAGTTCATATATTTTAGTTCATGTATTTTAAATCAAGTTATTCTAAAAAAATCTAGGTGATGTAGTAATATATACTTTTGACCTGTACTGTACATTCTCATATATATCTCGTGAGTTTTTATAAAAAGCGTCTGGATGTCGGTAGATGATAATACATAGCAAAAGAGAGAAACTCACTGATATTGTAGTAAGCGTTCTCTATACTTATCTTATCATACATAGATTTTGTGGCTTTAATCAAAGAAAAGGATAGATATAGTTTCTCATGGAATCCTTGACTTTTATTAATTTACAGTATATAATGTGTGCGTTACTTGCATTTTAATTTATTTTAAAATGCATTAAAAAATCTTTAATCTTACTTAATTCTTTAATCTTACCTTGAATTCTAAATAATATCTGCAAAATCCGGGAATTTTATTTCCAAATTTTAATAAACATGTACAAAAATTTTACTTCAAAATATCAGTAATATAATAATTTTCCCGTTTATTTAAAATAAAAGTGCAAGACCTCCAAAGTGCCGAAAAAATTAATATCATTAATAGTCAAGCTATATTCATGATGATTGAATTGATGTAACTATAATTGTACACTATTGTTCACTAAATTCGCAATATCAAATTATCATCTCTTTTTGTAGAGAGAGAGAGAGAGAGAGAGAGAGAGAGAGAAAGAAAGTAAGTTTACTTTTATAATAATTTTTAAAACAAATTTCATAATTGTATCTTAAAAACTTTTCAGTATCGCAAATTTACAAGAATATATAACTATGAAATAAAAAAAATAAATTTATTAAAATAATTTTAAAAATTATATATTTCAAATATTTTTTCTAGTTACTATAAATAGTAAATATTTATAGATATTTTGACCATTAAACAATGCATCGTTAAAACGCTCGAATCATTAAACAACACCAAATGTTTTATATTTACTCTATCTATTTTCTTAGTTTTACCACGACCGGATGTTTTGATGACATGTCTTGACGTAATAAGAATGGAACGAGAATTAACAAACAATTTTCTGAGTAAATATCAAGAAACTCGCCAGATAATTCCGCCGACTTCAGAGCCTCTCTAATTTGACTTCGTGTACGTAACGATCGTTCACAGCGGGGAGACCATCGAGATCGAGGTCGTTACATGGCCTGGTATTCGTTCGATACATCTCTGTTCGCGTAATTTGATCTCACAGAGAGCCTCCCTCCTATCGATCTCTCCTCTTGCCTAGAGCCCGCGTGATTTATCTCGACGGCTTTTTGCATCAGAGTTAATTGAGACGAGCAATTTGATATTCGCTGTTGTTCATGAAATGCAGCAGATTTCGCGAGTTCCATTACGTAGATCTTTTACGATGCGGATCGTCGTTGTATGACAGAGTTGATTAATTCGCGATTATTCTCGAGCACCCGGAAATGGAAGAAACAATATATGAAAAAAGATAATGGCACGATAATTACTATATATATATGCTGCTTTTTGTTACAGCATTTCTTTTTATGGTTGTAAACTTCATACTGACGACGGCTTCCCTCGCAATGGTACACGAGCGCGTTCCAGACAGAAACACGTACGGATCACTTCCCGATGTGGTACTAGACAATGTCACTGCTCAGGATTGGGCGCTTAACGTTTCGGAAGTCTTGATTATGATCATGTCCAATTCCGCGATGGTTTTTATTATTTTTCATAAACATAGGTATGTACAAAAAGCTAATGTAAATCAATGCCAAATCATTTTTGTTAAAGATAAATCCATGTAATAAATTTATTTTCATAGATTCATAATAGCTAGACGAATATTTCTGCTGATGGGCTTGCTCTACATGATGAGAAGCGTCACAATGTACGTGACGGTCTTACCGATCGCCAGTAAAACTTACTATTGTAGCCCGAAGGCGAACAATACCAGTCCGCTTCTCGTGACAAAGAGAGTCTTGCAGCTCATCTCCGGCTTCGGTTTGTCCATTAATGGCAAACACACTTATTGCGGAGATTACATTTACAGTGGGCACACGGTTGTGCTTGTACTCAGTTACCTGATTATTAAGGAATGTACGTATCTTCATTTGCTCAAGAAATAAATACGGATATACATGCTGTCGGTATAATTTTACATACTGATTTGTAACGCATTTTAGATTCTCCAAGGAGATGTCAACCGATTCATTGGTTAGCTGGTTTAGCGGTACTCGTCGGAGTAATTATGGTCTTGGTAGCTCATGGCCATTATACCGTGGATGTACTTATAGCTTACTATGTTACTACGCGTTTGTGGTATATTTATCACACGCTAGCCAATAATCCAAATCTCAAGGTACGTTTTACTTTCGAGCATTGAAAATTATCTGCTACACAAAAAATATAATTTATTTAAAAATTAATATAAAATTTTAGTAACATTAATATTAATATAATTGCAAATAAACATAATATTTGATATAATAATAAACTTTAGTAAACTATACTTTATGTGAAATGTTCATAATATTACATTATAATTTATATATCGTTAATGTATAATATAATGAAATTTTTGCAGCAATACGGACCAAACAATTTTTTGGCCCGACTCTGGTGGTTCTCTATTTTCAAGTATTTTGAGAAGAATGTGGGCGGAACAGTGCCACGACAATATGACTGGCCTCTACCCTGGCCTCGACGGTTTCTTGCCAAGCACCCTAACCGGGATAGTTAATATTTGTCTTGATTTTGTAATAGAGGCTGTTAAAAACAAAGGAGTTACTTTTGTTGTATATATTTTACACAATACATTTATATATATATATATATATATATATATATACACACACACTCCACGCATACATACGCACGCATTCACAAATGTATGTATAAATCGCTTATTAACGTGGAATTCACTAAAGAATATGTATGGGACGTACGATTGTTTTCAGAGTAATCGCACATTCATTGTTAAAGCATGAATTTTGTGTCGTTCACTTCTTTATAATCTAGTTGTGAACTCTATATAGACACAATACCCGTGCTCTTTCACGTAAAGTTATTGTCCAGTCAGCCCGAATTTACTTTTGCTTGATTTTTATACAATTTATACACAATATAAAGAATAGATGTAGAGAAATGGATTTTATGATCTAATATCATAAAGATTCGAATAGAGGAAGGTATTTGAGTTAATGAGACACATATTGATTCGCTTATAGCGCTTATATTTTCAAATAGTTACAAATTGAAAGTAATATAATAAATAAGTAAATATAGGATAAATGTGTGTTTGTAAAAATTCGAGCGATATTATGTAATAAGGAGTATTTATACTTTAAAAAGGGCTATTGTAGATAAATATTACAACAAAATCTAAATCCTTCCTCTAAACGAATCTTTGACGTTACATGTTCGACTTGAGTCGACGTCTCGATCTTCCAATGTCTAGACGTCGTTGTCCTTGACTTTGCATTCGCGATACGAATTATTCCGATGAAAAACGATTTTGCAAACGAATTTGCCAAAAATTTATTGTGACTCGCGTGATGTGTATGCCCTAATTAAAGTTCTATATTACCGATTATCCTCGAAATTGTTTCCTTCGTGCTTTGGAAAGAAATACCGAGTATCCAATACTAGAAGCGATTGTGCAATTTCGTGGGACCAAAATAGGAACGCTCAATAGTGAATGTTAATTCATATAACGTTGACAAACTAAACACACCGAGTCATGAGAAGACATCTCTATTATATATATAAAGTTGATAAAAAATTTTAATAATATTATTAAGGAATTCCATAACTTTGATTAAATTATAATACGTAATATAAGACCCATCACAAACGAAATTTGCATCTCTTGCCTGCCATATGTACAAATTGTAGATACGAATCTATAATAACAATAACTTGTATAAATATATATATATACCAGGTAAAAAATCCAAATTTCATTTGTGATGGGTCATACATTACATTATTTAACCAAAATTACGAAATTCTTTAATAATATTTTTAAAACTTTACACGACACATATACACACACATACACATATACACACACATACACATATACACACACGCACACATACACATACACAGCCTGCCCCAGATTTGGATAAGTTTATTCGTAGCATATCTTGGACATTGAATTTCTAGAAGATATATTATTCGTTCTTCTAGCTTCCATTAGTCGATACGCGAAAGTATCATGCATAGAATAATAAGAAAAATACGAAACAAAAAGAGGAAAGTACTGAAGCATTCGTGTTTTCACGGAATAAAATCGTTATACGCTTGTGCATACACCGGATGTTGTCATACATATACATGTTGCATAGGCAATGTAACAAATTGTGCAAAATGTAAAAGATAATTTTGCATTCGTGGAGAGATCGAGTGACAAAAAAAACGAATCATCGATCTTTCATACGATATCCTCTTCCTTCGTTCTTCTCGCGTTTCATTGTTTCAACGACTTCTTGCCCGACTCTTTTTCTCATCTGAGGAAGATGAGTAACATAATTTAATGATGTCGATGAAAATGCCGCGATTCTTCAAATATTTGTATAAACAATTATGAATCTCATCTAACAATGTACAAGTAAAGTGGTAACAAATCGCGTGACTACGCGTTTTCCTAGCATCCGATGAAAGTTGCGTGTATATTATATGTAAAAATGCTGAGTAACATTTAATTATAGTTTAAATTGTGTCAAAGGTGATTTGTTATCTTATTTACCTGTGATTCATTGGTTGAATCTCTATAAATACGAAACGCACTCACAATTCTCTACCATTTTTAATTAAATTTTTGTTGTCTCTTTTATATTATAGTTCGAATAAATAATAAAACATTTCTTACGATATACTTCGCGGAAGTTTACATGTAAATCTATTTTTTATTTTATATA